ACACCAGAGGTCATTGTTAGGTTCATGAAGTTACTGGCAGCAGGACAGAGATCAGGCTAAATGAAGGAAAGAAAAAAAAAAAAACCAAACCACCACCAACAAACCACCCCCTGTGGTCAGTTAAGTAAAATATTCCTGTGTCGTAATCCAGTGAACTGGAAGCATGTATGGTTATACCTGACCTTTATGAGAGGCAATTAGAACTCCTCAGTTGCATGCTCCAGCTGGTAATTAATGAATATTCCCTTTTAATAAGTTATACAGTAGACTGCTTTTGTGGTGGAAGGATTATTATCTGCACATCAATAGCTTAATTCCAGGGAGAGAAGTAGTGTTTGTTTTTCTCACTCTGGATAAATTGTGCTTGGATATAGCTTCCTCCCCCAAACCCTGAGAATATTTGTGTAAATCTAGTTGTGGAGTCTGAGAAATGGAGCAGTGACCACATCTGTGTAGCGAATAGCTCAGTCCTATGGTCTGTCCTGTTTGAAAATTAGCATCTCTTGGGGACATGGTTGGCTTTTTGGAGACATAAACTGTCTGAAAAGCTTAGATGTATTTTAGCTCCACTTAATGAATTAGTATTTCATCCCACAGCAGATCAAACACATTTTGTGTCTTTTAATGAAAGTGCTTTTTATTTAGGCAACTCTAGCTGCTCTGAACTGAAACATAGCCAATGGGATGGACACTGTGTTAATGGACAGCTAAATGTTTCTTTGAAAGCTGAGCTTCTCCTTAAAGTTAAGAAAAGTCACTAAGTCAGTCATGGAAAAAAGGGAGAACAGTTATTTGGATGAGAGTGCAGTACAACTTCAGTGTGGATCGATTCTTGGCTGTGCTACACGTTCCTGGTGTAACTGGGAACTGTGTAATTGCCTGCATCCCATTTTTACTGTTTCTGCTGATCTCACTGAAAGACAGACTGAAAAACCTAGTATTTTAATTTCTTTAAGGAACTTTGACAGTGTAGAGTGCAAGGTGTTACAAGATTGTATTGTGTTCAGCATTAATAGCAGATGTTGTGAGAATCTGAGTCTTTTTCAAAAGCATCTAAAGGGAGAAGAGTAGCACTTGTGGGAAGTGAAGCACAAGTGATAACCATCTTCCACCCTCCAAGCAAATAAAAAACCTACCTGGTTTATAGTGGCCAGAACATTCATATGGAGAGCAAGGGTCATGCACCTCACTTTGAAACGAAACATGGACATGAGTCTGAATCCTGCATATCTCAGATGAACATTTTACCACCTAAGCTGTTCTGAAGTGTGAGAGGGCTTCATCCAGAAACAGACTCTTTATCCAGCAAAGCTTTCATCTCAACTGATGTAAGACATGTTAAAAGTTAAAGTTGCAGTGAACTGGCTTAAAAAAAAAAAAAAAAATCACTGAAAAATTTTTATTTATTTGTAATCAGGATCCCAATTCCCATTGCCTTTTTAATGGGAAATATGAAAAAAAAAAATAGCTACAGGGAGTTACTCAGTATGACAAATAACATATTTCACTTTTTCTTAAAAGATATTAGTTTCTTGTAATGACTTGAACTCCATGATTTGTATTTTCTGAACTGTATGTGAAGATGCTGACCCTTCACACCAGGTGTCTTTCATCTCTGTGAGGTACTAGAATGATGCAGGCAGGCAAGGGGGAACCACACAAACCTTAATGTGGCTTTTGCAAGCAAATGCAATTCTTTGTGAGCCAGGTATAAACTTGAGCATACAGTGTCCAGACATGATACAGGGAACAAGCTGGAACAAGAATTTATATTACAGTAGCCTTATCTCGTATTCATCTGTGTTTGCACGCTGTTTTTATTGACATAGAGAGGAACTCAATCAGTGGTATCATGATTCCTTGCCCAAGAAAGGTTTTAAACCCACGTTTTGCAGCATCAGGTATGTGGCTTCTTCCTATTCTATTCTGGACAGTGTAAAGCAGTAAGGTCATCTGTCTGCAGTTCTGAAGAGACGGGTTTGAGAAGGAAGTCATGTTGCCAATGAATAGATGTCATCCCAATAGTATCCATGCTTGTCATATTACATCCGTAATATATGATGTAATTCTTAATGCTATCTGATAAAGGAGGAAATCTTATTTTTGTTTACATGTTAGAAGGCTTCATGAGTCATTAACCCTGGCAATTTACCAGAGAGGTGTGTGTGCAGGTAGGGTAAAGTCCATGTAATGGTTGGACACCCAGGGATGCCAAGCACCTGCTGCTGGTCCCAGGGAGTTAGGATTCATCTACATTGCATTAAAACTACCTGATATAAATGATGATTAAAAGAAGAGCATGCTGGATTCAGTGTCAGATCAGTGTCTGTTCCTACCTCTCCCAGTGATTTCCTGGATTACTTTTAATTGTCATGTCGCCATATATGTCTTCCTGTCTCCATCTGCAGAAAAGAAGCCTTGTAAAGTTGCTAATTTTGTGGATGTATTTATTAACACTTCGACATGCTCAGATTTTCAGGACACACTCTAGAGAACTGTTCAACATTGTTTGAGGTCCATTTGGTGCACAGTAAAATACCAATGTGTCATCACTGGAAACTGAAACCCCGTGCTCACCACAGAAGAACTTCAATGCAGACAGTTACTGTTCAGGCTTTCCGTGTGCTGCTTCTTTCAAGACTGAAACCATCTTGAAAGAAGCACCCACTATATAAACAGTATATTTCATTTTCATGATCCACTCAGCCATGAATATCTGGCGTTTCCACATGATTTCTGTAACACTACTCTTTGGTACTTCTTTGTAGAAAGTATCTCAACAAAGGCAGTGGTCTGTAATTCTTGATTATATCTGTTATGATGGCAGTCTTTGTATCGCAAATGCTTGTCCCACTGACGTGACAGCCACTAAAGGTCTCTGCTCTCTAGAGGACAGCTTGCCTAATGGACCAGGTCTCCCAGGATTCACAAAAAGGCTTTCAGGATCAGCTGAGCTCTGCACACAGTACTTTGTTTTATTTTGTTTCATTTTGATTGGTTCAGATGGTCCAAATATTTGCAGAACTCCATTAAGTCCTATTTGGGATGAAGTCATAAGTTCCACTTTCCACCAAGGCATGGAGCCTGTCCAAATTAGTGTCAAAGCCTATATAATACCCTGGCTATACTGCAGGCTTGTGTAGTATCAAGATCCTGTTTTCACAGCAGTTACATAGTTGTTACTCTAGTGAAGAATGATATGGCCCCTTATAAAGTCCACAATCTGACGTCTGTTTTTTAGTGTAATATTTACACTACTCAAGGAGCTAAGAGAAGGCTTTGCTTTAATAGATTCCTTCAGCTAATGTTTTCCCTTATACAGATGGGTTATTGTTTCCAGCTTTTGATACCTACGTGGCCTTGTATATTAGGGCCTCCTTTTTGGTTTGGCTTTTTTTTTTCCCCCTTCTCTATGTCTCCTGAAGCAAAGGAAGGGTTTTGCCATTATCATCAAGTTGCTCTGTAGTTTTCTCTGGGGTTTTATTTGAGGGTCAAAACCCTGAAGACAATAAAAACAAAACAAAACAAACAAAAGACCCCAGCACCCTGTTGTTGCTCCCCCCCCCACACACACACATACACACACCCCACATCCTGAATTGCTTTCCATTTTCGACTTCTCTTCCCCTCTCTGAGAGGAAACGTGGTATAGCAATTTCTTACCATGGGCAGAACTCAGATAATTTGGGCAATGAACTTTTTCTTTTTTTTTTTTTCTCCATATGGCTGTGATGCTACAGGTGTGATCTTGTGTCTCTTTTGAAAATGTTGCCCATGTGATTGCTGTAAATAACACTGTACCACCTAATGATTTAATGAGGCTGGATGAAAATCTGTATGTTCATCTCAAGTATAAATAGCTTTCTAAGGCTTCATAGTGGAAATAGAGTGCCAGGTTTTAAGTATATAATCATATTTATTCTAATGAAATAAACCACATTGACAACCATAAAATTCTGGTCTGAACAGGGAGTGTGGAGGGCGACTGAAATTAGGTGGACTTTTCTGCTTAATATGCTTCTGGACTGAAACAACTCAGAAAGTTGGGATTGCATAGTGGACTATCTGCTAAAACTTTTTTAACCTCAGCAATACACAGGTTCAGTCATGACTTTAGTTCAGGAAAAAAGATTACACTTGCTGTGTTCCACTGAAGCCAATTTTCTCCCAATTCTAATTAAAAATAAAACCAAAACATAAGACTTGGAGAGTCAGAGTTTAGACCAATTTGTAGTGGATGGACAATGGTCAAAAGCAGGATACACCAAGGACCTTAACTCATTCACCAAGCTAACCGCATGTACAGATATGCTTTAAAGGATCAGAGTCGTCTTATCCTTGGTTCTGGTTGTGAAATTTCTAATGGTTTGGATTCAGGTAGGAAATTATTCAGAATTCTGATTTTTTTAGTATATCTATCCTGGTGTTCTTAAGCCTGCACATCTAAACTAGACATATAGAAAGGTTAGTTGTGGCATTCCAGCATTTATACTGGGTTTTTTTTCATTAAAGAATTGCAAGTAGAGAAAGTATTTTAGCTTATTTTGGGATACAGATGATGGATCCAGGCAGTCCTTAATTTCAATGTGTTTGTTTCTTTACTTGAAGTTCAGAATGGAGGCAGGAGAAGCATAGGGAACATACGTATTCCCTATTCTGACAATGTTCTTGTCACGTGTACTCTACAAACAATTATATCTGTCACTTGCACTTTCATAATTCTATGCAGAGAAAAATTTCAGAAGGGTATATGAGGACACCTTGTACTTCAAACTGGTGGCTGAACCTGGTTCCCTGCAGAATTATTTTACTTCACTACCTCTGTATTAGCTCCCCATCTCTATTGTTCTCTTCAAGGACAATAAGATTATCTTATAAAAATAATGCTGTATTTATCTATTGTATGTATGTTTTAATTTATTTTTCCATTAGCAAGGTCATATTTTGATTTTTTTCATAGGAGGTTAAGGTGTGCTGAGTGTGAAACAGTTGTCAGGGTTATGATTGCCCCTAAGTATTCTACACAGAAACGGGGCAGTGAAATGCCGTCTACCAATAACATGTGGTGTGGCAATTCTAACTGGCTATTGGTAGGGAGTTGCATATTTCTGTAATGTGCCATTTGGCATGGCTTTGGGTTCCTCAGATTGCTGCTGGTTGTGGCCAGGAAAGGAAAGTAAGAAAAAGCAGTAGAACTTCTCACTTAATTTGAGAAAGGTCATCTTGTTCTTATTTGCACCATTTATTATCATGAGGTGGTGGGTGCATAGCAACTGTTGCCACTTTGCCAGCCTCCTATACTTTTCATACAGTGTCAGCCTGCTATGTGATGCTTTGTTTAAATCTTCTGTTGGTTGCAAGGGCTGAATAAAGAGTTGTGATCTGTCTAGGATGTGTCTGTACTACAGTCCTTTGCTAAATGGGAACAAAGCTGCTTTGTCATTATTGTGAATGGAGATAGTCTTTTAGTTTACAGACCAGTGGAATGAAGAGAGGGGAAGGAAAGATCCAAGTCTCAGTTGTGATTTTGTTTTTAATTCTAAATATGAAGATTTTTATTTGTGCAGAATCATTGCCATGTGTTGGTATGTAGCCTGGCAGGAACTTGTCAGGTAGCAAGGTATTTTCTGAGTGCAAGTATTTTCTCTCAGCGGGGAACATGTAGAGCTACTTATTATCTCTAAACCAAACAGTTCTGGAATAACTGAGGTACTCTGATAGACCTACACATTTAATATTGATCCATATATCTTCCAGAGTAACTTTTCTGGTATGAGTAAGCATTCATACACTGACAACATTGGTGAGATCCACACAGTCTTCATAGATCTTTGGACATCCTTAGGATGAGTCAAGTGGTTCAATCTTTTATCATATGCTAGGAGTCTTAATATGATTAAGTTGTAGTTTATAATGGGAGATTAGGATCCTAGGAACCTATGCCTGTAACACCTATCTAGAAATAAATAGACCTATTAGAATGAAATCTTATTTCCATTGAGCAGCCAAGGAACAGGAAACAATTGGTTCCTGAGTAGGGGTAGGTCTTCTTTTAGAAGCTGAGCTTGGTTGAGCCTGGTCTAGTGAAGATGATTTCAGGTGGATTACTTGGGAGGTAGGGATAGAAGGATTAATACTGCTCCTACTATCATTAAGGGGAGGCTGTTCTGTTCCTTCAGATGTTCTGAGGTTGTGCTTAACTTTTTAGAATAGAATAGAATAGAATATTTCAGTTGGAAGGAACCTACAATGATCATCTAGTCCAACTGCCTGACCACTTCAGGGCTGACCAAAAGCTAAAGCATATTATTAAGGGCATTGTCCAAATGCTGCTTAAACACTGACAGGCCTGGGGCATTGACCGCCTCTCTAGGAAGCCTGTTCCAGTGTTTGACCACCCTCTTGGTAAAGAAGTGCTTCCTCATGTCCAGTCTAAACCTGTTTTTCCTTTATCATGTCAAAATGAGACAGTCTTTTGGCTTATTTTCAGGTTCCTTAACTTGATTTGTTGTTTTTTTTTTTCTCCATTGAGAAACTCCTTTGTTGGTAAATCCCACCATCACCCTAGCAGTAGAGAGCCAAAAATATTTATAAGATCTGTCGATATAAAGCTACAAAATATAAACCTGTTATCTGTAAATGGGCTGTCCTTCTATTTGGGAACATAGTATGTTTAAGGGATTGAGGTTTGTTGCTTAGATGCCAATGATAACTGTATCTCCATCAAACTTTATTATTCTGTGTTTAATAAACTTATCTGAAGGGGATTCTTTTTATCTGACACACTGTGATGATAGTGCTTAAAATGACACTTTCAGAAATGTTTGTAATAAATGCCACACAACTATGTGCATTATACAAGATTATGGGGGAGATACCATAATAAAGAACAGCACAGTGAAGAATCCCAGTTGTTTCTACAGTGGCATTTCATCCTATAAAGGCTTCTTGCGTAACGTTGTTTAACTTTCTGTTTCAGGAACAAGAAGATCCTAATAAGCTTGCTACCAGCTGGCCAGATTACTACATTGATCGCATCAATTCTATGGCAGCAGTAAGTTACCTCTCCTTCAAAGCAGGGAAGATTTCCTACCATAGAGATGTGTTTCTTTAGGAAGAAGTCTCCAAAGGGGAAGAATGTCAGCCCAAATGCATGACTGATTTAAAATAGGACTTCTGAAAGAAGACGAGTATATGTATTAAGATAGAGTCCTGCTCTAGCAGAAGAATAGGTTAGAAAGCACCATAAGCATTTCCAATTTTTATTTCTACAGTACTGAGCACTGAAGGCAATCAAATTAGATTCTGGAATTAAAGTTCAGAGGTGGACTAATGAGTTTGATGATTTAAAATTATTTACATGTCAGCTGTGAAGCCTATCCCAAAGTATGGCCCTGAACCTTAGATCTGAAAAGAAGGGACAAAAATGGCTGTGTGGCTTTTTTTAATTCCTGTGCAATTGAGCTGGCTTTAAACTGTAGTAGACCATAATGATCTTAGAGACTGGCATGCTCTCGACTGTTGTTGGAGCACAAAGGTAGTTCAGCTATGACCCCTACTTTGGAAGTTTCGAGGAATGTTAATGTAAAGCTAGCTTTCAGCACTCATACTTGTGCCTTGGCAGGGCTAGCCAGCCTGAAACGGTGACAATTGAAAGCATCTTTTCCCAAGACTATACTTTTAACTGCAGTTAGCATTTTGGGAGACCTGTGTGTCATTTGGGCCAAGCAGAGTTGAAATAATTTGGATCTTCAGGAGGAGTCTTTAAATGCAGCCTCTGAGTGAAGATTATGTGAAATCATGGACAAGAGGGAACCAAGGGCCCTATTTATCCCTTCAGAACAGAAGAACAAGAGAATATTTGATGAATCAGAAAATAAACTATTTGAAAACTAGGTAAAGCTTTGCTTTGTTGTATGGTTTCAAATTGATTTCTAACTAATCTACAAAATAACAGTAGAGTTATTATTTTAGTAGAAAAATTAAAGAAAAGGTAAGGTATGTAAGATAATATCCACTTCTATAAGAGCAGATAAATAGAGGACCATAAGGCTGTAACACTTGGGACATCAGATACAAGCCAACAAGATATTTGAGGAAAGTTTTCTTTAATTGTCCTTGTTCAATAACTGTATAATATGTCTCTTCCTCTGAAGCACGCAGTAGAGCTGGTCACCAGCAGAAGACTTGCATAGTGTCCACTGATCTCCTTTGATATGGTAGATCTTATATTTTGAAATTTGATCCTTTTACTGATTTTATAGTAGAATTTTGCCTCCAGTTATTCATGTGCAATGAATGTCTACTGAATATCTACTCAGCCTTTTTTGGCAGTTGTGCAGAAGTGATGATAGAATTCTGTTCCTAGCATCTTAGGTAGCACACCTCGTTTGTTTACTTATGCTTTTATGTTTGATTTCTAAAGGCTTCTCTGCACCTTTTATTGTGGTTATGAGCTATAAAATAATTTCATAAAAATAATGGATGTTAAATGTGTCAATACTGATGCATTTCTCATGGTGAAATATGTCTTGATTAGTTAAAAAAAAAATCAAGATTTACAAGTTATTATAATTCACTGTAAGAGGACAAAAGAAAAGCTGCTTTCTACTGTGAGTCATGAATAACCAAAATGATCACCAGATTTTCTAGAGGCAGAGTAATGAAATAGAAAGAATATGGACTTATTTTGAGAAAAGAGATTGAGCTTTTGTGACTGGCATGGTACTGTGCTTTGATTTCCTGACTGAACAAATTTGCTCTACAAGAACCATTAAAGAAAAAAAAAAGTATGAAACCTTGCAATGTCATTGAGCCAAATACTTCTGGTAGGATTTGATCCAAGGCCTCTTGAATCTACTGAATTTTTTTCCATTGATTTCAGTGACTTTTGGATTAGGCTTTAAATGATCTTGATGTAAACCTGGAGTGAATATGTACACGCCACTATTGTAAAACTGGAGCAGTTCCGTGGAATGAGACTATATTTTGGCCTATGTTTCTAATTTTAAACATGTTTTAAGAGCACCAGTAAACACCAGCCCCAGTAATGTTGTTTGCCTGCCTCAGCACTGAATGATTAATAACCTTTTATTTGGCTTCAAACCTCATGATTTACTGTTATGCTTGAAGTGTTAAGAAGAGACACTGGGGTTAAAACCCCTGCTTCTGATTTACCATTTAGTTGCTTCACTCTTAGGCAGGTGAAACGTAGTTGACTTGATTTCATAGGAATTGTATCAGCGGAAAACTGGAGTAATACAACTGAGAAACAGCTCCAACACGCTTTAAAAGACATGTTCTATTCATTATTATTTAGACCTCTGCTAAACGGTTATTTTGGGTCCCTTATAATTTCAGTCCTAAATTTAGTGGTGGGTTTTTTAATTTTTATTTTTTCGAACTGCATCCAAATGGAGTTGGCTCAGAAGTGGTCAAAGAAAAACATGTTTCATGTTGCTTCCTGACACTGTCTATTCTATTTCAGTTTGTGTCTCTTGGGCACTATCAGATATTGCAATATTTTAATTAGAAATACTGCAAGAAGTATTAGAGTTGAAATGGTAGCAATAATCACAGAAGTGTTAGTTTAAAATGCCTTAAGTCCTGTTTTTTCTAATAAAATTTAATCTTTGCATCTCCTGTGAATTAACTGCATAAGAATCTTTTTACATGTAGCTTTCACATCTTTTTCTATATCCTTTCATTTAATTATGAAGTTCTTTTTTATATATTAACTTGGCAAAAAAGTTCTCCCTGCCCGCTGATAAAATGAAAATGACACATTTATCCTGCTAATATTAAGTATCTTTCTGTGCATTTCAGCAGGCCAAGGCCCCTGTGCTCAAGGATGATTTTCTCAGAAGACCCGTTGCAGTGTTACCCATCATATCTGCCCCTTATAGATTATGCTTGAGAGCAATGTGTTGATTCCTGACGTGTTTGACATTCCCTACTTGTAACCTTAGACCACTATGTTAGGAAGCACTTTAGGTCAGAGATTCCTGATCCAGTTCAAAAAACCACACATTTTAGGCACAGATCTGTTCCCACAATTGTTTCTGTTGCTGTGACTTTTTAGATTTTAATAGTTTTTAAGCCCAATTCTCACAAGAACATATGACAGTAGAACTGGATCTCCTTACAAGTCTGTACTGTGCAATTCTTGTGGAGGGACTGTCCTATCCTTCAGGTAGCCTGACTTGAAAGGAAGGGCCCAAACAGATAATTGGTAGAGTCTTCTAGACCAATCCTTAAGAGAAAGGGATGGCTGCTAATAATGTCTAATTTAGAAAGAAGAGCCTCCAAATTTTCCCAGTCCTCTGCTGTCTGCACGATATAAATAATACTGATGACTGTGGACAGGTTGCACGTCCACATTTAGAGACCATTTCGTTTATCAAGGTCATTGTCATCTTCTACTGATTCATCAACACACAAAACTTCTTTTCTTCAAAATGCAGCAGCTAGCATGTTAGTAAAGAAACGTCCCTGTGCTCTCCTGCCCTCCTCACCCCATGATACTGTCTGCTTGGCAGCACAGATAAACAGCCCTCACTTTACTGTGGAGGAAAACTTCTGACAGCAGCGCCTTGCTTTTATGAGCTTGGCTGTGTGCATTTCCACACAGGGACATTCAGGTGAACAGTAGTTGCAGATTCAGCTTTTCAGGAGAGATGGCTCAGTTGAGAGTATGAGACAGGGGTCAAGATTAATAAACACAGCTGTAACCAGGCCATTTTCCTTGCCTCAGAAAGCATTTGTTCGGGGCAGAGCAGCTTCACAGAATGTTAAAAATCTATATCTTTCAGCAGAATTTAGCAGGTGGATGAGAACTCGCTCCTCCATCTGGGTTAGGTGACACCTATGTTACTTTAATCTTATTTGCTTAAAAATTCAGGGTTTTTAGATTACCTCTATTCATAGTTTATGATTCGTAATTTCTTTTCTTAGTTTAGCCTTAGTGTAGTTAAAGATGTGGTGCACCTTGAATATTAAGACTTGTCTTCTTTGAATAAATGTTTTAAAGTAGTATTGTCCAGCTATGTCATAGAAGGCATGCAATACAATCATTTTAATCAAAATTTTGATATTAATTTTACTTGTTTATGAACTGGAAGTTATTTCAATAATGATAACACTTTGTTAGTTATGATTTTAGACAAGATCTAAAGAAAGAGCTTGGACTATAATGAGAAATCAGAGCATCCAGGTTGCTCTTTCACTATTTATTCTATTTGCTTCTTTCTTTTTTCATTTCATTTGTGTGAGACTGCTTAGTAAAACTAGGTCCACCATACAGTGTTTTGCTAATGCTAGTTCATGCTCTTTTTTCTTTTTCTTTTTTCTTTTTTTCTCTCTCTTTCTCACACGTATTGTCATGGTCCTGTACTTTCCTTCTCAGTAGTTTAGGGGAATGATTAGCCATTAGGATAAAGTGTGGGAAATAATATTTGCTTTTAATAAAAGTAAAATATTTCATTTTAAATGGAGCCAAATTTTCAAAAGTAATTTCTTGGACTACCTGAAGTTTTACAAATAAAATTCTATGTGAATGATTGTTTTCACAAATTAATGATTTTTTTTTTTTTTTTAATTGGCAAATCAAGTAACTAGATGCTGTACTTCCCTGGGTGATGCACTTAATCTGTAAAACTTTAAACATGCAAAATGTGCTTGTAAAAAAGAGCCTTTCGTATACCACTTTTTAGGGACCAGGTAAGGACCTGGCACTATTTTGCTTAGTCTTCCTAGTACGTTTGGTTAAGTGATGGTAACTAGCTGCATCCCCAGCACAGCAGATGTTAGTCCTCGAGTACAGTTTGTAGTTCATAAAGCAATTCATCAGTCATCCACGTTAATTAAATCCAGCCTCAAATAATGACAGTTTCCTCCCCTCTGTCTCCCAGGGACAGTTATGTTTTCTATAACTTGCAGAGAAAGCTATTTCATAACACAAACGCGTGACCAGTCTGTCTTTAGAGAGGGCATGAGGATTTGAGTTCCTGGCCATGCACAGGAGTGAGAAATGAAGGGCTCTTGGCTGCCTGTGGCTTTAGAAAAGGGGTTTTCTGTAATCACCCTCTGTTGTAAAGGCAAGATTATTTGTATTTGTTTCATTTGGAAATGGGCCTTTTTACCTCTGAATGAAATACTGTTGAGCAGCTTCCTACCATCCATTTGCTCCCCCCCCACCCCCCACCCCCCGCCAATGGCTCAGAGGAGAAATTAAGCTGTTGAAGGAAGGGGAGCCTTTCAAAGGAACATTTATGGGCCAAAGGAAAGATGACCAGATGGGCTGTCACCCAAGAAAATAAAAATCAAGCCCCAAATCACACCCCAGGACTCTGCCATTGAGATTCCATAATGCCTGTTCAGGATTTCTGTTTATTTTTTGAAAAGGGGGATCATATATGGCTTGGCTCAAGCATTTCAATTTATGTTTCTGGCTGTTGGGGGATGCTGGCAAAAGATAAAACATCATCAGCTCATTTTCCATCAGTAGCGCTCTGTCATTCCATTAGGGCAGGAAATAGCCTGCTCTGTTACTGAGTGAATTTGACTTTAGCGTGGATCAGAGAGAGGACCCCTAGAGTTAAACACATCTCCCTATGCCAGCTGTTCGGCATAAGACAGCAATGGCATGTAGCCAATGACCACCCTCAGGATCTGACATGTGTTGGCACCACATGGTTTGCAAAAGCAAGCAACATGGGAGCACTTCTAAGGGAAGTGAGGTGTTGGGGAGTGAGGGGGAGAGTTAAAGGAAGTTCCAGAGAGAGGAAGGTTTTCTTTGGTGCTTGCTAAATAGTAAAAAAAGCCCTTAAATATTTTGCTGCAATGGGCCGCAATTGTAGCTACTCAGATTCCACCACAGAGAGGTATAATATCACATCCCTGACAGTTGATACTAGTTTAATCGGGTTATTCATTTTAGAAGGGGTTCAAAGCTGCTTTCCAGATACCACTGAGTGATATCCCCCAGAAGTCCTGCCAATAAGAGAAACATTTATCCTCTCTGTTTTACAATTAAAGTGACTAAGAAGACATAGCTATAGGCTAAGAATTTCTAGCATTGAATCTTGACTTTTTAAAAAGTCACACATTAGAATTTTGAACTTGAATGGTATATGCAATGGGCACTGCAGCCTTGCTTCACATCACAAGGTTGCAGTGGTGCTGAGTGCTGGAGCCTTATTTTCCTGATATACTACTTTTTTTAATGGTGTTGCCTGACTTTGAGAACCTTGGTTTTTGCATGTATTCCTCTTATCATCTCTCACCACAATTTACAGTGACAACAGCATCTTCAGTTCCAGCCGCCTGCAAGCTCTAGTTATCTCAAGCTACATACCAGGGGAAAATCTAGTCTCAGTGTGCTTCAGTTTACTTGTTAAAAAGCAGGGACAGGGATTTTATGATGCTCCAGATTCTTGCAGTAAATGTTCCTAACTAGCAAGGGCAAAGTGTATAGGAAAAATCAGTATCTTAAAACAAGTGGTATACTTGGCATGGGGAAGGAAAGTCCAACTTGTATGTACACAAACTGTAATTCAGGGTACTTGCAGGCTGTTTAGTCACTTGAAGAAAAAGCTTTTATGCTTTGAAATTTGACACACAAGTTTGGAGTTTTTTTTCTTCTTTTTTTCCCCCCCAAATCCCTCCAGCCGTGTCAGTCTAATAAAAGATATTACCTCTCTCTACAAACTGCTTCACGTATCCATAGATCACCACAGCAGATCACTGTTCCAAATTAGTTACAGTTTTCTGAGGCCATACTGGCAAGTCTGATTTTTGGGGGGTAATCTGAGAACCCTAGTTTAGCCAGTGTGGCAAAGCGGTATGCTGCTGCCAGTCCACATGAGCAGCCTCATCTGGATTCAGTTTTGTAGCTGAGGTGCTGCTTTCCTGGTGAGAGGTCAGCAGGCACCTCTGCCTGGGTTGATGGGATAGTTGTTTTTCATAATTCCCAGCCTGTCTCTTAGCTTCCAGGCAGCCTGAGCTTTCCTGATTGTCATCTTTTCTGAACAGATGCAGACTCTATATGCTTTCGATGAAGAAGAAACAGAAATGAAAAACAAAATAGTTGAAGACTTGAAGACAGCTCTGCGGACTCAGCCCATGAGGTAATGTTGTTCGTCTTTCATCACAATTCACTGCCTCCCTTTGGTCAGACATGACACAGGGAAGAGCAGCAAGAACAAAAACCTCTTTGTCTCACCTCACACAAGCTTCTCTGGTATTTCAGACAATTCACAGAAAGCCCTACAGTCCCTGGTCTGAACCTGCCTAATTGGGAGGGCACACTAATGCTGAAACATGTAGCTTCAGGAAAATAAAATACAAAGTCTGCTGTGACTGTGGCATATATGTGCAAACCTGTGGCAGATATGTGCAAACACAGGTAATGACTATGAAGATCAGATTCTAGACTTCACAAGCCCCCTGAATGTCCCATGTAATTTGATTCATGTTGGGCAAAATCTCAGCCTCTACTCTGAACTTTGAATTCAGGCTTCCCCTTATCTTTAGTAATGTGAACTATTTGGTACAAAGCAGCTAATCCATCTGACATCACCTGGTTTGGCATTCTTCCTGTTTTATGTGTAACTGTGGCAGAGAGAAATGTTAAGAGACTTTATTATGTACTGTATCTTTGAAGGTAAGGTCATTATTTTTTCTGGGAACAAAGCTCTGAACAATAGCAAACTAACCAGTGTAGAAACCTCTTCCATTTAACACTCTGAAGAGCATTATGCAGAAGTGATAACTATAGTTGATATGATCTCAGGAAACACTCGGTCAAAAAGTTTCTGAGTGTCTTTGTATTGGGCCCAAAATAGGCCAAATGTGTTTGCATCCACATGATGATGAAATTATAGTTCCAGAGAGCTTCAATAGTGCCTAACTGAACAAGTTTTTTTTGCAGGGGGAGCCAAACCAAGCCAATTAATTAAATAAATAAAAACAACTTGAAGAATTATCTCTAAGAATTTGCATTGCAGTTACATTGACTTGAAGTGAAGATATTTCTGAGACTTCTTGCAGAGCTAAGTGCTGATTGTGCTTCTCCCCTTCATGATGTTTAAAAAGTTGACTGCATGCAGCTTCTCACCTCATGGCAACTATGAGGTAGAGAGCATCAGCTTAAACCTCAGTATTCTACCTCCTGTTTTGATGGGCTGTAAGAGAGCACAAAGCCAGAATCTTTTGCTCCTCTGAGACATAAAGGCTTTGGTAACTTTAGCATGTGGGTAGGGTGAGAGTTTTAAACATGGAATTGGAGAAACAGTGGCTTATATTGAGACCTAGTCCAAGGGGTTAAGTGACTGTTGCATCCTGTCTATCACTGTCCTAAAGCAGAGAACACAATAAAATGCAGCTGGACTTCATGGTAAATGGAAGCTAAAATAACTGCCAAACTCCCAGCTCTCACATGGGTTTTAAACCAAAGACCTGTGCTGTTGAGACTTGAGGTAGCAACTCTATTACATTAATGGGGAGCTGGCTTGATGCTTCCTTTGCAAAAGTGATAGCTTTCATTGAGCATAGTCACAGCAGCAAGGCTTCTCTGCTATGTCCATCTGAAACACTTTGGTGGCCACCGTTGGTTGTTCTGCTCTGTCTTTTTGAATAGGGTAGTCAGACCTCTTTGTTGAGAGCAAGGTAATGGAGAAGAAGAAAGAGAAATGTCTTTTGCTCAAAGGCTTGAAAGCTTTCCTTCTCAGAGGTATATTGCTTCTGCTGGATCCCCTTGACAACACCGTGTTGCTTCATGTGTTTATAATAACCTTAACAAGCTCAGTACAAGCATCTATGAGCTGCCCTATAAAGTGTTCTCTTCTAAATCGCTGGCGATGGTTATGGGGATTTTTTTTTTTTTTTAAATAGTTAAGCCAAGCCAAATTTTGAGTTAAGTCCTATGTCTCAACTAATTTCCAGCGACTCAATTCGCTGACTGCCAAATGGGCTGTGTGCCAATGCCTGATCAACAAGCCAATTTCTTCTTGATGGAAAGGTTGCAGTAGAGAGGCCCTCAGCTCCATCAAATCCCTCTCATAAGAAGTATGATACCCAAGCCTTCAAAATACTAGTCTTTCTAGTTGAATTTGGACATCAAATACTATTTTCCGCACCACTTCTGTTCATCAGGCCTCTGAAGAAAATAGAGAGCTAAATTTACACATGAAATGAACTGTCTGGAATCTATTTTTGATGGTAGGGTACACAGGGGCTCTCACAGCTTACCAATAGACTACTCTGCTTGAAATCTCAGATCTAGAGGAATCAAAAGAAGAAAAAATGCATGTATTTGTGTCTCTCTGATTTATTTTACTATAGAACTGTGTCTCTTCTAGTAGAAAACCCAGAGTAATGGTACTAATCTGTGCCTTCATTCCAACCCACCACTTCTAACAGCAATAAAAACTGAAGCAGACCTCCCCAATCTTAAATTCCTCTCGTCTTTGGAGAACAGCAGATAGAAGCATCCCTAGGCAGCTAGTTGGCCGCCTTTGAGCAAGTGCATTTTGTTCTGGTATTTAGGAGCTTCCCTGAAATAATAAAGCCAGGTTATGTTCCAGCATGCAGGAACAACCCTAGCCTCAGAGAACAAAACCCCCACATCTGCATCTTGTAAAGAAACACATTTTCTTTTAGGTTTGTAAGAAGTTATGACTGTAAACAAGTGTGATGACAAACTGTTGGACAGAAGCAGCAAGAGAAGAGCTTTTCTTCTGATATTTTAGTGCCCAAAAATGGAGGTTCAGAAGTGCAGCAAAAGTAAAAACTTATGAGGGACTCGAAAAAAACCCCACTTTTTGGAACCCCAGAAAACTCCTTTAGTCTGAATCCTCACTAGCTCCCTTTGCTAGCTGCTTTTCTTCTTTTGTTTAACTCAGATTTACCTTCTATTATTTTTGTTTGATTTAGCCATGTTGCATTCAAGCGCATACTGGAGATTATCATTTACGCATCTAGCAAGCAAAACCCATTATGCTGAATTTTTCAGCAGTTCAATAGTTGTTGATTATGTGTGCCCCCTGATTCAAAAACTGATGCTGAAGGGAAGTGTAGCCTTGGATGTTAACAGGATGGGAACCTGCTCTCTGCACACCCACAGCCTATGATCTTTCTGTCTTTCCTGAGCTGGATCAGGTCTCACAGGGAGGCTGTCCCACCCCTACACTTGGAATCCATCAGTGGGTCATTACCTCTTAGGCTGCACTGCATCTGTATTTGGATGAAAGGTTTGTTGTTAGAGCTAGCTAACTCATTCTGATCAGCACTCTCTAAAACTTAAAAGACTAAGAGGCGCCTTGCCTTTTAAAGTGTGCTAAACTGGTCAAGTGAGAGTCTGAGGTGAGGTTAGGCTTTAATTTGCTTGTTTAGCACCTATTAAAACACACCCTGCTTTATTTACACTTGAGTTTTTGAATGTGTTAGCCAGAATGCATTGGCAAATATGCTTAACTTTACACCTTTCAGTCTAGAACAAGACCTTATTTTGCAGCATACAGGATGTGTAGGATGGCAGTTAGTTACATATGTGTATATCATGAGAAAGAAGGTACTTTATTTGCATGAGTTGCATTTGCCTTTGCACATACACACACATGTCCCTGCTTACAGACCTACAGATGCACAACCACCTAACGGTGTGAGGATTTTGGTGCTCAGCCTGTCAGCTAAACTCCCACTTCTTTTTCTCACCTGTACAGACATTTACATAGATACCTCCCCAGATACATGATCACACCAAGCAAATTCTCATACTGAGAGTGTCTGTTGGCTCAGAAACTTGCTATTGGTATTTCTTTATCTTCTTCTTGCATGATTTCTAGCTTTTCTGGAGAATAATGAACTAAGTGTTTTAGAAAAGGAAGGTGAAAATCATCATTTGATTCCTGCTTCTGATGTCAGCTGAAATGGGAAGGTAGTTGATTTTGCTTCCTATTGAGTAATGCAGCTTACTGTTTTCTCTCTGGACTAGGAAGAGTACAGGAAAATCCTGACATTGTTTTAAGTTATGTCATTAATCAAGGTCTGTGGCACACACCGCTTTTCTGCACATGCCTCCTTTTTGGAATGACCTAATCCAAACAGGCCTAGAAAAATTGCTCTGCCAGTGAATTTAGTAAGGGATTGTACTTAATTGGGACAATGTGTCTTCTGTGCATTTACCATTTTTTTCACACGGTCATCAGAGCAAGCTAAAATACATAAAGGTTGTATTGCCTTGCATGTCTTGTCATAAGACCAGGTGTTCCATCCAAAGGTATGTTTAAGGGACCCTTTGTTCAGCTGCTTCTTCAGGATGCTTTCTTTTGACAGTAGAGCTCTGTATCTTCAGAAAGGTATCCATCTTAAGTCTTCCCTCAGCCCTGGAACTGAGAAGAACAGCAAAAAATTAACTTTTTTTTGCCCTTTTTTTTTTTTTTCCCCTCCCCTAAAGGGTGACAGGAATAGCTAAGGTATAGGATGGATTAATAGAACTGAGCTTTGGAGGTGAGGAGGAGAAAGAGAATTTAAACTAGTCCCTCCATAGTAGAGGCAAAGACCAACTCTGCTCTTTAAGCCCAGGGTTAGAGATATGCTTAAAAGCCAACAACATCACATTGTTCAGTAACAAGTTGAGTTTGTGCTTATTTTGGTTCCAAATACATCCTTAGCAGTGATTCTTTTAGCCATGAATGCCTTTATGTCAGTCTTCTTTGGCATACTAGCAGCTAAATGCATTACAAAAACTGAACTAATTTTTGATCTTTCTATAATCAGTTTAAATAACAAACTGCTCTGAGTGACCTACCAAATTCCTGGTGCACAATGTTGATCCCACTCTCTGGCCTGGAGGCAGAGGGGCTTTTGCTCCTATGATTTGTTAGGGTAGACAAGATGATGCATCCAAAGAATGTGCAATCAGACCTGTGTGAAACTTGGCAGATTGTCTTAGCAGAGTTCAACTAAACCTTGTTTTCATTTTTGGTGCACACGTGTTCCTATGTGTGCTTGCTCTTACTCTCATATTCACTTTGAAATTCAGTTTTGAACAAAACTCAAACCACAGACCGAAACTTTGTTGAAAGCACTAGGCTTTGCCATGTTTCTGGTCAAACTGCTGGCCCAAATAAGCTGAAAGCTGGCAAATCTATCAGCATAGTGAGCATAATCTTAACCTGAAAAAAGACAAATTTTATGGTAGAATACAGTAGAAACAGAACTCTAATGATGTCAGTAGTCAAAATGAAGTTGTTCTACTATAGGCTCAGTCTTCAGTGTGTTATTTGGTAACTGATTAATTCTGTATTTTCTCTATTTATGATGTTTTTATTGTACATTTTGCTACTGCAGATTGACAGTGGACCTTAATATACTTCCTCAAACTAAAAACAATCACTCAAAAAAAAAAAAAAGCAGCCAAGGCCATTATAGGAGCTTTGCATTTTACTGAAGAACATGTACTTTTAAACTTTATATGTTCCTACACTTATATCATAGGATCAGAGCGTGTAGTCAGTACAGCTGACAGATGCAGTGGTAATGAGTTTGTCTCTGTCAGTGTACCTGCTCCTGGAGGTGCATGCCTGTAAGTAGCATTCACTCAAAGTTTGACATAAGTCTAAAAATGGTTTTCAAGATAATCTGAACCCATAATTAAAAGTGTGGTGATGAGTCTGTATGAAAATGTATCTTGTGTGTATTAGCATGTATATAAGATGTAGCAATTTAAAAGAATCCATTCAGCCTTGAAAATGCAACAATTATTGGTGTGGACCACAGCAGGTGTTTGGTGGTAACTGCAACAAAGAACACAGGGAGCGAACAGTAGGGTCATGAGGTAATATAGTTGCCCTGAAACTATGTGACACACCATTGTTAGCTAGTCTGTTTTCTTTCTTTTTTGTTTGTTTTGTTTTTCTTAAATACCTGGGAATTATTCTGTGAACTTTAGGCTAAAAACTAGCAATCTTTTACAGCTGCAAGTTTGAATAATATTGTGTCTTTTGAATAAATTGCCTTTGGTCTGCTTTCCTTGTTTTTCCTACCTGTTTTTGTTGGGGTTTTTTTTCCAGGTTTGTGACCAGGTTTATTGAGCTGGATGGCCTGAGCTGTTTGCTGAACTTCCTGAAGAGCATGGACTATGAGACCTCAGAGAGCCGTATACACACATCCGTTATAGGGTGTATCAAGGCACTGATGAACAACTCCCAAGGACGGGCTCATGTCCTGGCTCATCCAGAGAGCATCAACATAATCTCACAGAGTTTACGGACTGAGAACATTAAGACCAAGATTGCTGTGCTGGAGATCCTAGGGGCTGTCTGCTTGGTACCAGATGGTCACAAGAAAGTCTTGCAAGCCATGCTTCACTATCAAGTCTATGCTGCAGAAAGAACAAGATTCCAGGTACAAAGAGGATACTTTGCCAGAAATATCCACTATGATGAATCTCTGCAGGGAGTGATTTTTACAGTGCCTGTGTTGCAAAATTTGCTAGGTAGTAAAAAGGCAGTATTTCTCATTTTGTTTCAGGAAGGGCACTTCCTCAAATAGATTATCAGCATATATA